TATATATATATATATATATATATATATATATATATATATATATATATATATATATATATATATATATATATATATATATATATATATATATATATATATATATATATATATATATATATATATATATATATATATATATATATATATATATATATATATATATATATATATATATATATATATATATATATATATATATATATATATATATATATATATATATATATATATATATATATATATATATATATATATATATATATATATATATATTAATAGTTAATTTGTTCCTATTGCTAAATTTTGGTTTAAAAACAATGTATTGCTTACTATAAATTACTACAGTATTAAATGTGGGAAACCATTAATTAAAAGATTATTAGAAAGTTTAGCAAATAAACACTATTAAATCACTTGAGTAAATATGAATATAGTGTTATAAATTTGTTACGTGTAAAAAGATTTTTATTACATATAATGTATTATTGCCTATATTAACTTGCTATTATTTTCTTCATCATAAATTAATCCATTATATAAATTAAACCTGTCCAAATGAGATCGTTCAGCAAGGCCAGCAAACAAGTATCTACAAAATTATTGTCAGATAATAATGACTGATCAGCTATAATGACTGATAAAAACTGTTCAGTCTATTTATATTGAATGGCGATCAGAAACACGGCTCTCCATTCGGCCGTCTCGATTGCAATATTTGTGAAATAAAGTAAAGTAAACACTATTGTTTATTGTGTACAATATTTATTAAACATATATATCAAAATGTATCGATGACGATGTTCAAAAAGACGTTAATAACATTAACATCCGTCGTAACCATATATGGTTTGCCTAGATTGTGTGTCCTAGATTGTGTGTGCCTAAATCGTGTGTGGTTCTATCTCAGATCGTTTGAGAAGTGTGAGTGTGTTGAATCGGGCTCAGGCACGGTTCACTTGGCCGGCCCTGGCCAAGTCAATACTTGACTGGGGCTTCAGCGTCAACGCTTGACTGAAGGCGTGTCTGAATTTGGGGCTGAAGCGATTGTCATAGCAGCGTCAGCCAATGAAATTCAGTCAGCAATAGGCCACTGTCTAGCTGGTGTATTTGCATACAGTGATCTTGAAGGCAAACTACACTGGATAACATCATTTACAAGCTTCCGTCTGCCTTGACTAACATTGCAAAGTTACTGAAAACTGCATCGGAGGATTGGGACATAAAATGAAAGGACCTTGTAACAGACAACGCGTCAAACAAGACGGTGGCAGCACAGCTGGTCGGCATGTTGCATGTAAATGTTTCACGCATGCCATTAATCTCACCTTAATAAACTACCGCAGTTTGTGTTCATTAAACAGTAAGATTGATTAGTGAATCCATATGAAGCAGTCCCCTAAATGTTCGTCTCGTCTTCAGTTTCAGGCTCAGGCGCACTTTGCACTCACACTACAAGCGTACCTGCAGGGGCGCAACTGCACATTTACTGATGGGAATGCGGCTTCAACTTTTGCGCGCCCCCCTTCAATCCAACTATATTTTTAACAGGCAAGTGATAAAATGTGGAAAAAGTTTCCATCAGTAAATTAAAGATATTTTTTCATAAAGATATCAATATGCTTAAAAAAATACAGTTTCTCAGTTCTGAACACAACTGAAATAGTATGAAGTAGTAAAAGGTATAATTACATTAAGCATGTTAAGTCGCAAAGAAATGCATCTCATACCATCCCAAATTTCTTCTCAATTTAATTTTCCCTCACTAAATGATTATATCACCTTGACTAGCCTTGCTTTTGGACTTTTTGTACTACATTTGTCAAAACAAAATGATAGACATGGGAGTCCTAAAGAGCAAAAGAACATTGCAATTACTTCTCACATGCATACTGTGAGAAGTGCAAGGTCTGTCTTTGCAAGAACATTTGACTGAAACTGCTAAAGGTTAAATAAAAAAGACTGTCAAATGTTTAGTGTAAAAAAAAAAAAAACAGAAACAAACAAATGTTATATTTAATTGAAATGTTATAACTTTATTTGTAGCTAAAATTAAAAAAGTTTTGAGCTAAGAAGTTACCAAAAGGCCTGATGAATCAATATGATACATAATAAATTCATAAAAACATGTATATGGTATGAAAAATGGGGGTGGGTGGTTAAATGATTTTTTTAATTTAATAAAATACAATATTATACGCGTATAAAATGCTAAATATATATATATATATATATATATATATATATATATATATATATATATTATTTGAAACTTTTAATATGGATAATTTCAAAAATAGTTTTGGCACAATGGCGCCCCCCATGTGTGGCGCCCTTATGCGCCGCATATACTGCATACCCCCTTTTTGCGCCACTGCGTACCTGTGAACCGCGCTCTGAGCCTGATTCAGCACACTCGCACTTCTCAAACCATACAGGAAACGGGCCTGGGCACGGTTCAGATAGCATAGTGTGAGTACACCCTTAAAGAAATACAACCTGCTTAGCTAGTTAGAAAATTTAAAGTAGCACCAGTAAAGCGACCA